AAGTTGTGTATTTAGTGAATATTTATTTTGGTCCGAGTCCCAGACCATTCTAAACAAAATTATCTATCTTATGGAAATCATGCTTCAGTTTAGTGCAACAAACACCCTCATTTTATGTCGTTTTGAGTGAAATATCACACACAAAAAATGTGTTTTAATTCTGTAGAAATTTAAAAATATAGCTTCTTACGTGGTCTTCATGCTCTAATATACATTTTACCATTTATCTTGTATTTTATATTTATCATAATCTCCTTTTTAGGAGTACAGCTGAGCAATGCTTCAGATGAGAAGCAAGGTAGGGATACCATCAGGACTGAACTGTACCAATAATTACTCACCTGATGCTTCAGTAGCTCAACTTCTGCTTTTAGTCGAGAAACTACTTCCACATCTGTCACGTTGTCCGTCTGAATTCCTACTTCCACTGGCAAGCACCGATTCTTCTCTGAAATGACTGTATAGTTTTCAACAAAGTCTTGATCTTTACATCTTCCATTAATGCTTATTTCTGTTGAAAGTGGAGACAGAATAATGAAAGATCCTGCAAGAAGATAGTAACCTGTTGCAGAGACACTTGACAAATCTTCATTGATAAATTTCTGAGTACCAATGAAATGACATTTCAGTTGACTCGGAAAGATAAATATGACAGCAGCTGACGTAGCAGTAACAGCACTGCTTTCGACGTGCATCCAGGATATACCTGGTTCAACTTCTGGCCAAGTCACTAGCTGGGATAGCTCAGTCAGGGAAGTGTCTGTGGACTGGATGAATGGGGTTTGATTCCAGTAGGAATAAAGGATATTTCTGGGAGTCCTTTCCTCAGGGATATAACATGGCTGGATCATGAATATGACCAGCTCAAAGGTCAAGAATAAGGAGGAGCTGTGTACCTCCTCTTCCCCCAAGAACCTCCATGGTATGTACTTTAACAGTTGTCCAGACTTACGTTTTGTGGTTTTACTCCGTCACTTCTGATTAATTCTAGGTGATACCTTAAAACCAGTCATGTCTGTCTCCTTCCAAATGCTTATGGAATCACCCATGCACATTCCCATATCACTGCGTAATATATAACACTTTTCATATGAAACAGAATCATTAAATAACCTAAAACTTGTCCAATCAGAATGATAAGAAGATTATAATACTAATTCTGTCCTACAAAATCTCTGTGTAATAATATTTGCCTAACCTACACATAGCATCTCGAAAGAACAAGACACTCACGGCTAGAAGTCGTCTCTTCCACGGTCATCCCATTTTGTACGTGTTTCTTGACGGAGGCTATTCTTGGTGGGAGACTCGACACAGTGCACATAGTAGGTATAATTGCTGATTTGAGTATATGACTTCCAGACAGTTGATCAACACTGGCCTACAAGAGAATTAATTCTTCTTATATTATCCATAATTTCAAAATTTACAAGCATTCTCTGAAAACCAGATATTTCATATAACAGATGTCACCCACCTCTTTTAGCAGTTTCTTAATCTCTGCTTTTATCTGTGCCAATTCATCTTCCCGGTCTTCAGGCTCTTCCTTTGGCACATCTGTCTCCTCTGCACATTTCCAAGCTTCCTCTTGCGCTCTCGGAATTTCCTCTGTCACATTAGAGTCTTGCCCTTTTACAACACAAAAAATACAGATTACATCACGTGACAGCAAACCGTGGCATTTAAAAGACAAATAACTTTGATTAACTACTCTCATAATGACAGGACAAGAATATAAAGCATAATGTGGTTCTCTATTGGGCACAGATGTTCAGCACTCCAATTTCTGTATATAACAAACTCCATTAATTTCTGCACTCAATCATCATTCAGTTAAACAAAAAATTTCCTGCTGTATTGAAACCAAGGTTCATCACTACTGTCAAATAGACAAAACATAATCCTCAGCCAGTTTAGTCCAATTCTCATTCTCACAATCTATATCCATCAGATATACTATATTTAGCTTTTTTTTTTACACAAACTATGAAATTACCTGATAAAATCTTCGCTTGTAATTTTATCCTCTTTGGAGGGTATCGCTTAAAAGGTGGCTTTCTTACTGGTGACTTCACCTTCTTTGCAACTGCAGGAGATACACTGTCATTTGTTATCTTATTTTCAACATGTTGGTTAAATTCAAAATGGAAATTTTCAGACTGGACCTGTAACAGAAGTCATTACATGATTCAGGTTAAAGTTCTGAATGCGGACCTGTTCACTTTCAAGACACCTGTTAGTAAAACTGCTGGGATTTTACTGAATATATATTTGAAATTGTGTCCTCCAATGTAAAATTTCCAAAAGACATAAATTATGAAACATGCAAATAAGTTTACCTTCCATGATTTATAGAATTATATTACAGCTGTCATTCTGTAGAATCTCCTAAGTACGTGGATTACATCTATATATTTTCAGCTTCGACAACAATCAAGGTTTCCTTGTTATATTCAAAAACATAACCTGAAAACTTGCATTTGAAGAATACCTTGTATGGGCAGCCTTACCTCATGCCCCATTTTCTCAAGCACAGCTTTTATTAAAGAAATCTCATCAGTCTCTTGTAAATGCTCATGGTCTGTCAGTGGTCCCTGCCTATCACAACTCCTTGGTTTGGCTGTTGTTTTATCAATTTCATCCGGTGCTTCTGAAATGCCACAAACAGTGTCTATCTTCAGCTCTTCATTGTTAATGGGTTCTGAATCAGAATAAAAACTTTTCAGAACATATTTCTTATTGCAGCATTTACAATATTGAACATCATGTGGAATTTGTTTTGAAAGTAGTAGAATGGGGAAAATTTTGAGTATCTGGGATTTTAGGTTCTCATGGCAGTAAAGATACAGAACATGGTCTTCTTGATTGTGATGCCATGTGGTCTTGTAAGTAACAATCTGCAAGATCACTTGGCACCACATCCCAGAAAACAGCAAATGGCTTTCTATAAGTACTTTACCACCAACAAAATGTACTATTAAGCCCTGTTATCCACCACATCCCCTGTCAAGGCTTCACCTCTGATGAATGACAGTGTTGCTTTAGTACTGGCACATTATACAATTATTACCTGGTGAAGTTTCATCTTCTGAGTCTTTCTTTCTCCAGAAATTCCTCTTGATTGTTCCCTTTGGCCGATCTGAAGTATTAAACAATGTTGGAACTGCATTCCACTTCAGCAACTTCTTTCCGTCTCGTCGTTTTTGTTCAAATTGGGACTCATCAAAATGGACCTGTAACATGCCTTCTATTATATGCCCAAATCCATAAGACTTTAAATAGAAACATATAATTCAGACCATACAGACTGAAATTTTAACATTTATATACTCGGACCACTAGGAAAATTTATTCTGTAGCTGCGTCAACATTTCTGCTGCTTAGAAAAACTATGCAATTCAAAACAATGTGACAACATAGTGTAGTTATATTTGTATTGATATTTCATTTGTGCTGAATGTTGGTATTCATATTATAGCACATGTCCTTGGCCTGTAATATGATGGATCTATGGGATACAAATAAATTCTATTATGTCCTTTATGCACCCTTGAAGTTATTATTGATTATGTACACTTTCCTTATGTGGAAAGCAAAATATTTTGTCAGTGTAAACATTAACAATATGCGCACAAATGAGTCTGATGGTTTCTGATGATGGTGCATTAAATCTGTAAATCTGATTTCTTGGACTTTGCCCACTGTCTAAATTATAAAGAAAATCACAAATTTCAGAAGCTGGATAGTGCTTCCATCTTCAGGAAAAAAAGAGAAGGTCAAACCCCATCTGTTGGGCCCCCTGGTTGAGCTAACTTCAGTCATGGTTCAACCATGGCGCCCTACAGATATGGTTTCTAACCTTTAACTTTTTTTTCTTGAAGACGGAAGCAGAATCCAGCTTCTGAAAAATTGACTTTATTTATAATTCACACGACGGACAAAGTCCCCCCCCCCAAAAAAAAAACAATTTTACATATCTGCAGAGTTCTATAAAATATACACGGGGTAATTCAGACACTGCCAGCTTCCCAAACAAATGGTAATCAAGAGTGCTAAAGGACTGAGCATGCAAGTAACCATGCTATTTAACTTGTACCTCACATATTCGAGTGTAATCATTGGGAAACCAGTTGATTCTTCCGCAGTTAACAGCCCATTTTAGTCGTCTTTCTTCGTCTGCTGGGAAACGAAACAATCTGAATGGTCCAAAGCTATTATGAAGACAATTTAAAACACAGCAACTTGGCATTTTTGTGGTTGGTTTGTAAGTCACTCTACCATATTACTGCCCAAATTTCGCTCCCCTAGGTTTCAATATACAAGCACTTTCTTTGAAACAGCCCAGAATATAGGATAATCATTGCACGCTACTTGTACTTGCGAAACTGTAACGCATATTATGAATCCAAAATCATGTCGGAAGATCATATGAACCAAAAGCATGGTTAGAATATCTTTCACATCCCACAAACAATAATGATGCAGATAGTAGCCATGATTTGAACGATAAGTAATGAAACAAAATGGCGATTCTTGTCGATAATCGAATATCGATGATCTAAACAACTAGTGCCATCTATTAGTCTTTACAGATCTATGTTTTTAAAGCACAGCTGTTACTTTGCGCCCCACCTTGATGCCCTATTAATATCTAAATCTTCAGAATATAAAGTTTTGTATGCCTCGCCCCATGCGCGCTACATGCATCTCATTCTCTTTGGTCCAGAGTACAGATTTTGATAAATACATTATTGCTAACTTCCAGCAAAGGTAGACCTGTGAACTGGCATCTCTTCAAGGCATGTATCTAGTGATATCTAAGTTGAGTAAGTGCAGTTGTAATTAAATCGGAATAACACTCTCATCGGAGGTCTATAATAAAGTATATTCATAAATATTTCAAGTCCGACATCTGGAAGGAAACTCTCATAGTCTTCACCGGTACGTCACATGCACAAACACTCAACTTCCACGTGACGCAGTGTTTGCATATAAATAAGACTCAATTATCGAATAGTAGTGGATCACCTCGGACAAAAAATGACCTTTGACCAAAACGAAAGTGTAAACTGTGCAAAAAACATATTCCCTTTGCATTCATATAAAAGTGATGGGTAAAATCCTGATGTAATCTTTACAACTATTTACTTTAGATAATACTGTAAGGTAAATATTCTTGGGTTTAGGTATTATAATTTTTTATGATTTCAACAACAGACTTGCGTTTCCGATGATAAGGCTCTTGATAAGAAACTTTCCAGGCAATAAAGGCTGATAAAATGTTAGTATTCCAAGAATTTCCCCACGGCAACACTGTGGGCACTCTGCTAGGTTTCACATAAAACGACAATTGCACGCGGGTTCTATTAATATTGTTTCAGCCTTTTATATTTCGTCATACGAACGCACAACACTTGAATTACCAAGAAGTAATTAATTTAAATAATTGTTATATTAAGAATCATCCTAGAAATATAGTAAATATAAATATAAATAGTGTGTAGATGTTGATCTGTGGTGTAACGCCGTCTGGAATTATAGATAGAACGTTTCTAGGAAGCATACTGTCTCCGTCTTCAGGGCTGAAAATTTGCTTACAAGACTGTAACGTTTATCTCAACAAAGCGGAGTACTCGTGAATCCTGGTCTTACGGTCTTATAGTGTAAATATGGACGACGGGTACAAATTCCTCTCCCCCCTCTCCTTACTTCTGCCGCAGTGTCATTATTTATGCAAGAAGCTTATTTAAGGAATGATTACAGCGAACGCAAATATTTTCTCTTTCGATTATGGATGTCACCTTGGCCTGGAAGTTTGTTAACCAGTTATCAATTTCTGTGCTGGCCAAGCTGCACAGAACTTTCAGAATGTTAGGTGAAGGGTACAAATTATGGAGCTTCTCATTATTCAGTTTCCTCTCCCCCACCTCCAACCCAATCTCTTCTACGTCCTACCTCTTGGATGCAAATGTTTTGGAGCTTCTTCATTTTGTGTCTCCATTACCAGGAAATTCAATAGACAGAAAAGTCTGCAACGCGTAGCGCAGCAATACACAACCTTCCTTGGCAGCAATGTTGCTGACTGTGGTATGTAGGACACGCGCGTGGTTGGAAATCTATTCCTGACTCCACGATGTTTGAGAGACGAAGTAAACAATACGAAGACAGGGAGGGTCTGTTACCAGAACGGAACCCATTCTCAGTACTTTTCGCAAAAAATTGCGAGAACGCGTTATGGGCTAGTCATATCCGTCCGTCTACCCAGTCGATTCAATTCTGGACGAATTTGGATTACATTAAGTGTGGAGGTTGCGCTATTCTGCACGATTTCAAAATCTTATTTTGGATATCCTACGAGCGGTGATAACAATATGACGGATAAGGAAAATCAGGTAGATATTGAGCGGTTGCGATATGGCCACCAAAATGGATACTATCAAACACGTTGCATTTAATACCTTTAAATATACAAAATATGTATTTCGGCACGGAATACACTTTCCGAGCTTGTTTTACATGTGTTATAGTTAGGAACATGACTTCGTTTTGGTCCATTTGATGAGGCACTGGAATAAATTAAGATATTAGCCGAATTTTTTAGTCATAATATTATGTTTGGTGCGTCTTTCGAAATTTTGAAGTATCAGAGGATAGGGCTGCATCTTTGGAAGGCTAATGCTCCTTCTGACTAAGGCGGGTCTAGGATACTGACCGTTCCGCAAAACATTGTTTGAATTACTCCGAACAACACGTTTTGTGTGCTGTGGTGTTAACACATTGCTCTCCTGCTCATTTTTGTGTGATGTGTCGTCTACACAGGACAGTAATAAACTTATTTCCCCGTGGTTTTAGTGCATATAATAATACAAAATAAGTTCCCGTGCCAGTTTAATGTTTTTAGAACAGTTAATACAGTCACTGCGCCTCCGAAACATCGTGGAATCGGTTATAAAGGAAGGTCCTTTGGTCGCCAGTAATAGGCCTTGAGTCCATTCCCCATCAAGTCAGTGGCGCTACGATACAATCGCAGGAGTGCGGTCAGTTGTGAATTGTTGGTGTTAAGCGTTCTTGTTCTGTAAGTCTGATTCCGACATGTGCTATTGTTTCATGGATTACGGAGTTTAGTGGCCGTTTTTTATTACGGGATGCGTGCGTCAAGTTCAGCACAGGGTTCTGATTGCTGCCTTTCGCCGTGACTATATATGGAATACAGTCGTTTAGCATCATAGCTTGTCGGCACAAGAATGAACAACATTTCGAAAAGATAAACTTTAGCCGTTACCTCATATTGTGGGATCATAAAATCAGTAATGCGGGGATGGGTGGGAGAAGTAGCATGCATGGGCAAGTGAGACTGAAAGTATGGAGGCAAGGGTCACTTGGTAGACTTGGCATAGGTGGGAGGATAATATTAGAAACGATTTCATAGAAATAGGATGTGAAGGCTTGTACTGTATTGAACTCGTTCAGGACAAGGTGTAGCTGTGAGACTTTATTAACACCATGATGAACATTTGAGTTTTCATGAATTTCTCAATCAGCTGAGTATCAACTTTTTAGGAACAACACTTTTCCATGGTTTTGATTTCTTGTTTCTGTGTAATGTTGAGAAACGAGCCCAGCTGAGGACTGGGTGATTTTCCGTTTGTGTCGTATTGGCATTTGTTTCCATTTCTAGGTACACATCCGGAATATAATTGGGAAGTTTCCTGTATATAATACAGCCACTTTACTGCTCATTACTGTTTTCATGTCAGACATTTCTACTCTGTGTATTTTTGAACAAGATGTTTATGGATTAGGCTGTATGGCCTGTTCACTTTGAGAAATACTTCTGAAAGACTTTAAAGAGACTACTAGACAGATACATTCATATTAATATGGTTCAGTTGTTGGCCTAATCTTATCACCAGGAGAAGTCCAAACATTGTTTGTTAGACTGTAATTTGTATGATTTTTTTTATTTCTATAAATCATGGTACAGGCTTATGCCCATCTTTGAAATTTACAGAAAGTTCATAACATTTCTGACTTCAGGTTCTACAAGATGGGTGTTTGCACATTTATTGTGGTGGCAGCAGTGGTGTTCATTGTCTTATACATCATAACACTGCTGCTAGTGGACTGTGATCTTGGCCTAGCATTTGCAACAAAAGTAGGCAAGAAAATAGGTGAGTTCTTTATTGTAATGAGAATAATGAAGCACACCACCTAATTTAACATATAATAATTCTACATTTTTCCTGTGTAATATGTTTGTGGGTTTTGTACAGTGATGACAATAAACAGTTATTTCCCTAACCTAACCTAACCACTTCATTTTTTAATGGACATGCATTGTGTTTTTTTAGGTTAAGAATTCTATTTTTAAATATTATTTAGATGAACTTATGCTTCAGAGGGGTGCATATACCTGTTAGCTTTACTAATTTTCGGTTGTCTGCTGTAAGAAACATGAGGCATGAATTACAAAACATAAGATAGTCGTAAGATCTATTAACTTTACCTACAGTCTGTTGTGAGAATTCAGATATGTTGACAACGTAGGTTTTTCCTCAGCTTATACAAATCTGGCAACTCTGGTACTATGAATGTGTGTACTCAGGAACAACATTCAAGGACATTTTATAATGAAATGATTTGGTGCACTTATATCTTTGTAAGTAGTAACAGCGAATTATGTATCCACAAAATGACTTCGGTGCTGAAGATAAATAACCCCTTGTTGCATTTTTGGCAAAATATTTTAGGTGCAAAGTCTCAAATTACATTCACAGAAATATAAAAGTCAACAGCACGTGATGTATGTATTATAACTGAGCAGATATAAATGTACACACAGCGTATCTCAAGCAGAGTTATTTAGCTAGCTTTTCAGCTATAAATTGTGAAGTGTGGTTTGATGAAATGTAATGTTATTTTGAAGTTTTTGTAGACACTTAAGAACTTTGTGAGCACCACATCATGTATATATGTGGAGTGGAGATTGAGTTTAAAAGGTCTTTTGACAGTGCATGATGCCCAAAACATAATAATCATGTATATTTAATATTTTGTTCCTGTAAAGAATTCCTTATCTTTGAGACTGAGTTTAAAGTTTGTCCCACTATACGCCATGTAGGCGCTTGGGGGAGAGGAGGTATAGCTCCTCTCTTCCTTGACCTCGGCACTAGATGGGGGTGAGTGGTCAGCATCTTTGAGACTGAGTATTTGTAATTTAAATTTAATTATATCCCAAGCAAAAACGCGACTGATCATTGCAGACACGCTGAATGGGAAAGTGGTGTGGATCACTGGAGCTTCTAGTGGCATCGGAGAGCACATAGCCCTCGCTCTCGCCCGCGGAGGAGCCAAGCTCATCCTCTCGGCTCGCAGACTAAATGAGCTTCAGAGAGTCAAGGAGAGTTGTCTGGGTGAGTAAGAGTTCTTGAATTCCTTTTGAATTTATTAAATTGCTTCATAACTGACTCTGGTAGTAGAAATCAAAGATGTGGAAGGGGTTAATGCAAACTGTAATCCAGTGCTTCTTTTATGGCAGCATGCAGTACCAGCACTTTTTTTATTCAAAATTTATTTCAAAAAAACAGAGTCAGAATAGGTTAAAACCTGAACTTACTGCCATCTTTTTTATGAGGAAAAAAAAAAACACTACATAAACTATGCTCCTAATCTGATACTAAAGGAAAATTGGTAGCAACAAACTGGTATCTTCAAGATATCCACAATCTTGGATAATTTGTTCATTTAAAGTTTAAATTAATCTTTCAAGTGTGTCACACATGAGGGCATTGATGAATTCGGTGATGAACCTTCAGGATCTGTAATCCAGTGGTCCCCAACGCGGTGCCCGCCAAGGCTTTTTTTGGGTACTCGCTTTGTTACAGAAAGAGGTTATACTGAATAATGAAGGTCGTTCAACCACGAACATTATAAAATCAAAGTGCAGATCTCGACTTACTGACGCCCATCTTGACGATCGTTTGCGAGCAGCAACATCATCCTACACTCCCAAATTTGAAAAACTGGCCGATGAAATGCAGTGCCAAACATCACACTAACTTCCCACTTGAGTAATAATAATTGTACTTATAAACCTACATATACTCTCAAATGTGCCCGTATGCACAAAAAGGTTGGGGACCGCTGATGTAATCCATGTAGTTAGTTAGTTAGTTGGTTAGTGGTTTCTGATAAGAAGGTTATTTGATTTGCAGCAACAGGAAAGAATCTGACAGACGAAGATATCTTGGTTCTACAGATGGATGTAACAGCAGTTGACAAACTGGAGTTCCACTTCCAGAAAGTCATCGAGCACTTTGGGAAGGTAAAAATTCTTTCGTGTTCAAAGACGGAACACAAAACTTTAATTTCACCTGTTACTTTATGTGGTTCTGATGGAAGAATATACATCGAGGGTGTTAAGAACTGAATAAAATATTTGGACCTAAGAGCAGATCTTTGATAAAAGAATTTATGAGTAAATTGTTCCCTGTAACACATTGAGATTAGAAATATAACATAGGTTAGGTTTATTTTAATGGTAATTATTATTCAGTTCAGAGATTTCTAGAGATAACAGGAAAACTCTCCGACCCTTCCCTCATATATATATACTACATAGGACGTACAGAACCTGAACACACACTTCGAACATTGCAGCTGGATATTCTAGTGAATAACGCAGGTCGATCACAGCGAGCAAACTGGGAAGAGATTGAACTTGACGTCGACAGGCAGATGTTTGACCTCAATGTGTTTGCGGTGGTAGCCCTGTCTCGTATAGCCGTGCGCTATTTCCAGAAGAAGAAGGAGGGGCACATTGTTGTCACGTCGAGTCTTGCTGGAGTGAAGGCAGTTCCATTTTCAGGGAGCTACACTGGTGCAAAATATGCAATTCACGTAAGTTTTTTTTTCCCCTGTCTTTTCTCCCTCCCTCCCGTCACCGCCACTTCTCGATCGCTCATTCAAACTATTTTCAACCATCCTCCGTACATGGGGGTGTGTAAACATTGGTGACTGATTGGATTAAATAAAGGCATGAACACGGGTGTTGCGTTTTGACAGGGTTACTTTGATGCACTGAGGACAGAAAAGATGGCAAGCAACATAACCGTAACGCTGCTGTGCCCTGGTCCAGTGTTCAGCAACTTCTTGGCCGAGAGCTTCACAGAAAAGACTGGTGAGGTGAGTTTGTGATGCCGGCTGCTGTAATTTTGCCGAAGCTCGATACTTTCCAACCCCAAAGTCACAACTCGAACGAGGGTCACGTATCGCAAAGAGCGCTCAGTTGGAAGGGTGTATTGGTGGTTGGTTAGGCTCACAGGTTGGGAAATACAATAGAGGATGTGCGATGCTAATCTGGATGATATCACAGGGACTTCCTACATGGTCGAGCAAGTACGCAAATTCCCCATTCAGAGACTCCATATCAAGTCACTTTCACATGCAGGAGCTCTCCGTCTAAATCGCCTGTTATTGTCTGATATTAACGAGATTTGGAACGTGTCGACAGATGCGGCAAACGGTCCCCAAAATAGGTTCTGTGGTACTTGAAATGTTACTTGTGGGCAGACGGACATGGTGAAGCTAATAGGTGCATTTTTGCAACATTCAGATGCAAAAGCCAATAAAATTTCTTTGGAACAGATTTATATTCATTTTTTTGGCCATCTACTGCCATCACACATTACAGTAAATTGCCGTAGGGCGAAATTTACGCAGAACTAGTCAGTCTCGTGTGTAGAAGGCATCTAGGGTATTTTACCGTGGCATTAAAGAGCATGACTGAGCAAGATGTTGAAAATGATGCTTTGGACTTGATTTCAGGAGGTATTTGGCTGTGTCCTGTTGTGGTTTTCTTCAGTCTCTGCAGACGACTTTGTAATAGTACCCTGAAATAGGTCACAAATGATTCCTTCCAAGTTCTTACACAGTCATTACATAATCTTCCCATCTAATTAGAACATGCATTCGTAACATTATAAAATAACCTAAGAATTCTGGGGTCTTGTAGAAATTTGGGAAGTCTGTGGAGGCGACTGACCGACGGATGACTGGAGAGCGATGTGGGTATCTGTGTGCTGTCGCTATTGCCAACAAGCTGGGAGAAGCGTGGATGGCTCTATCTCCCATAATTCCATTTTACTACATTTCTGTGTACTATCCTAACATCAGGTATCTGTAAGTATATTTAAATTATCACGGTTTTTGGTACAGACACATTTTGTCCAGACTACTTCATGGCTGGTATACATGAATACAATGATCTAACTTCTTTTTTCCTTTCTTTTCTATGGCACAACAGCCCAAACCGAGGCTTGGCCTCCTCCTATGTGGGAGGTTTCTATGTCTTTTGAAATGTGCATTTTCATGAGTAGTGAGTGACGAGCCCAATGGCAATCCTGATTTTGTCAGCTAGAGCCATCTAGTAATGAATCAGGAGAGACTTGGGTGAGAAATGGCCACTGAATTTTGCTTACGAAACGTCTTGTTCATGCTCATAAGGTTCTTTTACATGCCATAAATCTACGACATGGGACCGCCAGCTTTACTTCCCCTCCGAAGGAAGTCATGCTGCAGATTTTTTTATCACCCTTAAAAATCCATCGACCTCAGCCCCGGTTTGAACCGTGAACCTTGGGTCCAGTGGCAAGCACACTGATGACTAGTCCACCGAGGGTGACACAATGATGTGACTGCAAAACAAAATGAAAATGTGTCAGAATTTTTGTGGTTGCAGTTTTAATGAAATAGGTGAACCACAAAAACAATTTTAGTGGTGAATATTTCTATGAAAGAAACTAATGACATTTAGACAGAGGTTTTATGTGGGATTTTAATATGGGGCAATGAATTTATTGAAAATAAGCCACTACCTCTACTTCTACGTTGGTTTCTGAAATGATTGGCTGATTTTCATAAAATTCATTTTTGTATGCAGCAAACTGACCTTGCGTCAGTACTCGGAAAACAAAGTTTTGGTTTCTGAATACGGACTGTCTTATTTCAATTGCTGTGAATACTTGCGTAATGACTGATGGTATTTTGCAATTCTTTTACATTGAGACACGATGAACAGTATTTCTATCAGTACATCCTCAAAATCTGGTGTCTTTTATGATCCACGTTGATACCAGGAAATACGGTAAATCACACAAGAGATGACCTTGTAATTTTTTAGAATTGTAAAAAGGAAAATTAAAGAACAAAGATTATTAGACATAAGTTGCTGTTGGAAATGTATAATTGATCTGAATATAAAACAGCTTAGAGATTCATAAGGACTGGACTGAAGAACAGTTGAATTTTATTTAAATTAATGCAAGAACAGTTGAATTTTATTTAAATTAAGGTTTTTTTTAGTCCACTTATTTTCTGATCCTGATTTAAGATCTCTTCTGTCTAACTCCATCTCTGTCTCTCTAACATAATCTTGTACCAATGTTTTACAGTCTTCTGCGTTTCCTTGGTGCTCGGTACTTTCTTAAGATGCGCGACAGCCAAGTGAGAATGGATATAAATGATATTTGAAATCGGTCCTCGGCTGCGCTCAGAATAATAGGCGTTGCAACATCAAGGCTTTGTAACGTTACAATAGCAGCCACATCTGCAGTTCCTCATCTGTCATCATCATCGTCGTCATCGCTGCTGCCATCTTCATTAATTATGCACCATAAGAGTGGAATATTAAGCTCAATAAAAATTATATTCTGCTTTTGAGGAAGAAGAAGAAAATGTGGCAGAAAAATTTGTATACCTGTAAATTACCCATGAAGGATGATGGGAAAATCGAAAGTAGTAAAAACGCAGTTATAAAAATATAATATCCCTTAAGGCTCAAAATCCCTTACAATTGCAATCGTGTCCAAGGTGCTTTATCACTGGGCCAGTCACCTTGGTCACTCTTTTTTAACTGTCACTTGTTACCTTTGGTCTTTCTTCTAGAAAGTGCCCTGATCTAGCGATCAATTGCATTTTGATTTCTGTACTGAACTCGGACTACAGCAGAAGAGTTCTCAAATTATTCTGTTCGGTGGAATCCCTATTTAATGTTTCTAAAGTTTTCCTCTGATTTAATGCTTAATTTCTGTGGTGTCAGTCTTGTTATCTGAACACCGAATTTCCTCTGTTTAGGTCTTCCTCAGTCATGGGCACATTATAGATCCTGCAGAAAAACTCTGAATAGGGATTTCACTGTTTTCAGAAAATGATTTTGTATTCATTTAGCTCAATGACTATATGTACATGGACGACATTTAGCGCGTGTCTTGGGAGTGCCATTCTACTATAGGGACATACATGGGGATATAGATGGGAGGGTAATATTAAAATGGATTTTGTAAGGTGTCAGGCTCAGGTTAGGATCCAGTGGCAGGTTCTTGTGAATTCGGTGAGGAATTTCTTGATCAACTGAGTAATTATCAACTTCTCGAGGATGTGCTCCACGAAGGTACTCTGTCACTGGAAATCACTGCTGTTGGAATTAGGGTCAGTGTAAATAATTCTCTTATAACACGAACAGGCTCAAGAAACTACAATTTTATTGTTCAATTTTTTTTACATAAAGATTTTTTTAACTGATGCTGACTCATTTTGAATCCTCCACCTGATTCAACGTCCTGTATTCTTTGCCTCTCCGTATGGCTTCCTTGAACAGTCTGCAGTACAGTTCCATTGCACACGGAGTATCATCATTTCCTGGCACTGGATATGTGACTAGATTGGGGTTACAGTTTGTATCGACAATGCCGACAGATGGGATGCACATCTTCGCAGCATCTCTCACTGCGATGTGTTGCGTGAGGATTGTGTTGAGTGTGTTCAAGAATATACACAGATCAGGTAACCGAGTAACAGCACCAAATTGCATCTCTGAATTAGTAAATATACCCCCACTCCAATACCTGGTGTGTGCAAACTCCTGACATTCAAGTGCTGTGCATTCAATGAGATGCGTGTTCTGAGAACTGCGAGCTATGAAGAGAATGATGCCATCTCTGGCAGCTATGTGGGCTGTGAAATTGAGTGCCTGCCGCAAGTGGTATGCCGTGATGTCCAGATCAAAAATTAGGTGACCAAGGCGGGATCCAAAGATGAATGGTTTCATTCTTTCATCCAAAGATCCTTCATGATGGCCCAGATGCACTCGCGCATCGAACAGGTCACGGACGGTGAACAGTTCATGAACCTTGAAGAAATCTGGGTGTTGCAAGATATCTAGCTGTGGTATTACAGCGCCTGAAAAAAAATGCAAATTAAAATCATAGGAAAACAAGAACTGAAAATTTAGAGGATTTTCCCTTAGCATAACACTCATACGAAATTTCATAAAAATCCCTCCAACTATTTTCAAGTCATCATATGGGTCTTTCGTCAGTGTTGTTGCGCTATCAACCATCACGTTGGTACTAGGAAATTAGAAATTATTAATTTGGAGTATTTTCCCGTGGCACAATAACCATGCAAATCTTAGTATTTTGATGACGTGTATATTGAACCACAGGAAATCGAACTAGTTCTTATACAATTTCTTATGGCGCTACGATTCAGATGTTCTAACGTAACAGTAACGCAGAAAAATCCCCGAGAAAATACTGTACACGGTTTCAAATCTTGGAGGATCTATGGAAATGTAAATAAGTTTATTCTATTCTTGACGTTAATTCATTCTCATGAATTATGCACAGAAACTGAAGGCAACCATTCACGGAGAAACTCAAAGAGACAGAGAAAATTAACGTCTCAAACGCATCCTTTCTCGATCAATCGTTCGTTTAATTAACGACCAGAAAACTCTGGAGCGCCACATCTAAAACGCACCCTTTCGTTTCTTGGCGGTCATTTTGCTGGTGTGTGTATTCTTTCGTTGTGTGATATATTTTTGTACAATTCAAAGTGAAATGCCGAAGAATGTGTATTACTAAATATATAAATAATGTAGGAACTGTGTCGTGTTTCGGTTATACGTTTCCAATATATCTACATACATTATCAATTTCTTGTAATGTACGCGTCACGAGACCAATATTCCTGGTATACACGTTTTGAAGTTGATTATAAAATAAAATTATATGATACGCGTATTATTTGTCATAAGAAATCGTCATCATACAATACAATTAATTAACTGCTTGATTTGATTAATCGCTATATGAATCGTAGGGCTTATACAAAGAATCTGGCATCCAAGGGACACCATGGCTGTTCAAAGGTCCCTAATTTACATGGAGTTATTCTTTCAAAATAATAGCTTCCCGCCTGTATAAATATGAAATAATGTTTGTAGGCACTTTAAATTTAATTTATCTGCTGTTTGTCAGTCAATTCAGGCACCACTTTTCAACTTTGGGTTTATTTTCAATGTAACCAATATTCCCTCTTTATCTGGTTCTTCCCATTTCTGTATCAATATGTTTAATATATCCTTAAGATGGAACATATCTGTGGTTAGGTTAGATTTGTTGTGCTAGGAACAATACTGATAACATGATAAATAAATCCATCACATATAATAGGATATATGAAACCATTTAGAATAACGAAAATATGATTAAATGAAAGCAACCCTGGTTGGTGTCAAATCTCATTTTTACGAAGATGGAGTATTAGAACCACTTTCAACCACAATTTCATTACGTGTTCGTGTGAGAAAAAGTAATTAACTCTTATGTTAAACTAAGAAGTGTCATGTGAAGTGTTATTTCCATTTTCTATTGTGTAATTTAAAGTGAAGCAGACAAGTTGCACCAGCACACGACAGCGCTCATCGTACGTCACCGGTAAGTACACCAACCTAATAACTCTAGTACATAAATTTGTTGCATGAATGGTGTTTTGTTCAAAACTGGCTGTCACCGAATTCTTGCTCTCATTATTATCATTCGTAGTGGATAACATAGAAAAATTCCAATCAAACTCGTATAGCCACAGTAAAAGTACAATATCGAGATATAACTTTCATATGCCAAACACAAAACTCGGTAAATATCAAAAAGGAGTTTACTATACTGGACTTAGGCTATTCAATAACCTTACCACCACCACCCCCAACAACAAAATGACTGAATCACAACGTTTAAGTGAGCACTAAAAGAGTATCTCCTGTCTGACTCCTACTCCATAGAAGAATTTAACTCAACCAAAAATTCTCAGCTATTATAAATACATGTAAGCATTAGTGAGTACGCTTTCTTGCGTAATTATTTTTGCGTTAATACTGTAGTTAGCTGTAAATTACTGTCATAACTATGTAATCTATTTGTTCTGTGTCATGTTCTACATCCTTTGCTTAGGCCTATGAAGGACCTTTGGAATGTAATAAATTCTATTCTATCGCAAGTTAAAAACAAAGAAGCACAAATTACATTAAAGTCAAAAACAATTTCTGTGATTCTACAAAACAAAATACACCTATTATTTTGTAAGTCAGTATTTTATGTTCAGTTACATCTTTAAAATACGGTGACCACTTAATTATGTCTCTCTTGCCTGAATGATGTTTCAACATACTCTCCACTCAAATAATTATACTAATAAGCAATTTTGCTCTAATATTCCTGACAGATACAAATTCAGTGACAAGTTAAGTTCATTCATGTTTAGCTAGACCAGTGTTGGGTCAAGCAAACATAAATATATCAAATTCTGTAGCACGTTTGTGAGTAAGACATGGACTTATGCTAAGACACTTATATTCCTGGTTATCATCGTGTGCATTCTACTCTCCATTCTATATATTATATAAATTATAAAATGGTAGCATAATTATTCCAGTAAAACAGCTGTGCAAATCTGGAATATTTTGACTCCAGTTTCAAGTTATATAACACCCCAGAAAACAAAAGTAAGAAACCTTGAATGCATTATATTATGTTACACTCTGATATGTCTCATTGTTTTCATAAATACCCCCAACAGTTTCATCTTATATAAGTATTAACATTTATAATGTATTGGATATAAAATAAATATCACAAAGAAAAACAAAGAAGCTCTAGCAGATACTAGTGAGGGCATTGGTTACAAGTTAATGTCTCATTATCACACCACAGTATGGAATCATAATGCAGAGGCTAATAATAAATCCTTTGAAAATTTGGCAAAATTCAAATATTTGGGAATGATTTTGGAAATCATAACTACATTCATTAGTATATAAAGCACAGATAAAATTTGGGGAATGCTTGCTACCATTAAAATTGTAATCTTTTACCTTCCCATCTGCTGTCTAGAAATGTAAATATCAACACACACACAAAAAGTTTTTACCTGTTGTTCTGTATGCAAATGTGAAATTTGGTCTCATATTAAGGGAAGAACACAGATTGAGAGTTTGAGAACATGGTGTTGGGGATAATATTTGGATCTACGAGGAATGAAGTGACAGGAGGGTGGAGAAAACTGAATGCTGTGTAGATTCATAGGTTGAACTCTTCATCAGATACGTTACAACCCCCAAGGCCAACGTTGTTACATACAGAAGTATGCAGTGCAACAAAGAAAAACTGGCTCACGTCATAACCTCACATAAAACAGCACACACGATAATAAATATAAAAGCATAACTTATTAAAATTCGAATTTACATACCTTTCTCAGATGGCAAATGTGTCTTTTCTACATCTACATCTGGCTGAATCTGTGTTGAATATCTTAAAATCTTCCGCATAGCAGAAGAAGGGCGGCGTAATATCGACTGCATTTTTGCAGCTGAAACAATCCACTGTGTTACCACAACAGAAATACGCTGTATTTCGTCTCCTTGATGATCCTCCTTTTCAACAATTCAAACTATCACCATCTCTTACCTGTATATAACATGAGGGAAGGCTTACCGCAAGCAATAAGCGCCATATTGGCGTCGATCAGGACTGCCAACGCGTGAAAGATAAAATACGTGAGGTGATATTTCAGGTTCTCACGGTGGCGAGTATTTTGATGTCTCCCGGCATGTTTCGCCGTGTAGGAGCACCTCTAAAACGTCGGCAAACTGCCAGACTGCACGGCGAAACATGGCAGAAGACAGTCGTCATCTTCAAAACACGTGAGACTTGAGAATCATTAAATTATCCGTGTTTTGTGGAACCTAAAGTTTCGCGCTTCCGACCCGCATTTCCCTGAGCTTTATTGCAATATTATCCCCCTGCCTACGCCTAAGTCTTCCGAATCATCTGTTGATTTTTTCGTCCGGTTAATATCATATGTAAAGAAACAGCAGTCCCACTACACGCCAAAAAGGTCACCATCATTGCGGTTGCCAAGACAGCTCAGTTTTACGTTTTCTTGTACCGGAAGTAGGTTTAAATAGTAGTAGTAGTAGTAGTAGTAGTAGTAGCAGCATGGTACAGTTGCATCTATGTCTAAGCACGACGTTATAATGGCGTGTGTGGGGCGTGGAGGTCACATTCCACGCATTATAGACACTGAAGTTGCGTGAAGGTGAGTGTTCTCTGTAAATAAGTGACAAGTTTTAAGCTCCGTCTGCTTTAACCCCAGAGCCCTTTGGGTTTGTAGCGTGGGATGAACATTGTGGGGAAAAAATAAGGATCCATCCCGCATCCAGGAATCGAACCCTCGCCTTCCTTCCCGAAACCAGTTACTTTAAATTGTTTTCCTGGCTCTCGTCACGGGGCCAGCTTCTTAATTGTCACACTCGGAGTACAGCTTTCGAGCCATTGTAGGCAATTTCTTCTCGACACTTGATAATTCCCTGTCACCAGTAATGCTAACATGGATGTTATGCGCACTTTCGATACACGAACGACAGAACTTATACCGTCAAGGGAGAGTGTGTCCTCTCTTTGTATTCTGTTTAGTCGTCTCGTACCAAATCAGTTGTTATTCACATGTTCTGGCAAAGGAAGTCTTAGGTTCGAATTTGACATATTGGCAAACACTTATTGTGATCGTCCCTTGTTGTGCGAGAGGGTTGTGGGGGGGTTGACTCATCGTCCCACTCCTCCCTCGACCCCTGTGAAAAGATACCGACCCACGTGACAAGCTATGCACGTGGCCCACCAGATGGCAGAATGACGTAACAATACCGCCGGCAACAATCGGGCTGAATCATTGACACGTCCACGTCATCGAGTCTTCTTTTGTTTTCGCCGTCAATGCATGACTAAGTGCATACGAAATTCGTGCAGACGGGGTTGGTTCAATATCTGCACGGAGGTTGGCGCTGGCAACGGTCCCGCACTTCCGCACTTGAGAGTTTACAAACGAATGTCGTGAATTGGCACAGTTGATATATCTGAGTCACAATGGCGAAACGCGAAGAGATTTGCGCCCCTCTCTCCGCCTGAGTCATTTCTAATAATATTCCTCATCGATGTTTTGTTGCAACATTTAAGTAAACCGTAAATTTCAGGTCGCTTTCGTTTGTTGGCTCTACTTTTGAGCGGGATTCTCTAATTTTATTTGCATGTCCGAAACTATATATAACTCACTTCACGTAGCAGAGTCCTTCACAAGCTGATTGTCGCTCAATTGCCCCCAAAAAATCCCAGATTTTGTGGAATCCGCGGGTTCATTACCGTGCTTACAAGAGCCCGCCACCAGTCACTATTTTCAGTCATTTCGGTCTAACCAACCCCCGTCCTTTCTACTTCCCCGTGGTCTGTTTTAATATCATACCCAAATAGTGTCTTCCCTTCAAGCTTTCCAGTCAACGCCCCCATGCCTTGACCATCCGATTAACAGTTGCTTAAAAAACTGTTTTGGAACCAAATGAATGAATCAGTACGACTGTACTGGATGATTGCAGCCCGGTACAGTCAGAGAGCGCTGAGTGAAATCACGAATCCCGTCCTCCACCCCCGACACGCCCTGTTCTCACCCCTCATCTTTTGTGTTTACACATTAACTAATAAGTCCTGATACCCCTCATGACTCAGTGGCTGTGAGTCAATCACTGAGTATCAGCTCTGCAAAACAGAGGTTCCGTGCTACAGTGGCTTGTACGCGGAATTCGCTTGTCATTAAGGCAATAATATAATGTAATATTCCTTATGGAAGATTTTACTCCATGTCTGTTACCCCGATGTGAATTTTATATATTCATTTGCGATATTTCATTTGTATCAATTTTTGCCAACAGCGGTCTTTAATTTTCATACGCACCGAAAATATTAGTTCCGCGCCGAGTGATCCGAGAGGCAGGGATTTTATAGCTTCCATGTCAGCTGTGAGTTGTGACACTTTTCTCTCTTTTAAGTCTAAGGTCTTATTTTTAAGTGTTCTTACTTGTCTATCGCGTTTAGTGACAGAACACGTAACTTGGTTTTTGATGAGTGTTGATACTTCCCGTGAGGCTTGCCAACATTTTTTCTTTCTTCCGCGGTTGGCTAGGGACTGCTGTCTGCTGAGGGTAATTTACGGTTTAAACAATATTTTAAGAATTCAGTCCGTACCGCGAAGAAAACACAACTCTTCACCATTCCTAAGATCTACTCGTTAACGCTGTTTAAGGAAGTAATCGCTGTTTATGCTTAGAATCACACGAAACCCACAAAAACAAAATGCAGGCTTATTGTTAAAGAAGGTGGTACATATAGTTACCACTAGGTTTGAAAGGATTCTTTCCACATTTCCTTATTATCGTACAGAACGTTTTTGACGTGCGAGTGTGAGCTACTTGATTCGTTCTTGTTCGGAGTTACGTTTAGGGTTGGGGTGGAAGATTTTGCATAGAGCAGAGTGTTGTAAAGTGGGGATATTGTTGCTACAAGATTAGTCATTGTTGTTTCTCATAGTTTGATGTGACTAATGGCTTCTGACGTCACGATATCACGTCACAATAATAGCAAATAATAAAGATACAAAAATAATATTCTGAAAAGGGAAGATATGATTTTGACCTCTCCGGCGCGCTGGGGGATTGGAGATAAATCTGCGCGAAGTCTAAATTTCGGATTTAAACGGAGGTGATTTATGAGCTCTAAGCTGCGGCCGGCTTCGACTCCTTACTTTTCAGATTATAGATTTTGAGGCCATTTCGATTTTGCCACTTGGTTTCCTAAAACCAGTCGATTATCACGAGTTACGTCTACGTAGGATATTGTGCCCTGCTGCTGACGAATTAGAGCACATGAGCCAATGATCGTCCTGCATGTAGCTGGTAATGGTTCTGGACCTAGACTACTACTACTGCTACTAAACGCAATTTTCTCTCTGGTCAGTATTCTGTCTAGGGTACGGGATGGACGATCTGGGTTTGAGTACCGGCGGATGTGGGTTTCTGTCGTCGTCACAGCGTCCATAACAACTGTGGGATTGAACCAGCCTCGTATCGAATGGGTACCCGGGGTAGGGTAAATAAGCCGGGGCGTTAATCTAACTATTCATCTACGTCTAGAGCCTGGATTATCCCTTTTATTTATTTATTTATTTAGTGTTCTGTCTGAGGACAGGTCCATATGAACAGGATCCTTCGATCCTTTTCTCGGACTGAGACCTGTTCATATACGTTCTTGGCAGATGATTCAGAAGTGGTTTGCCATTGCCTTCTTGACGACAGGTCAGGTCCATATGAACAGGATCCTTCTATCCTTTTCTCGGACTGGGACCTGTTCATATACGTTCTTGGCAGATGATTCAGAAGTGGTTTGCCATTGCCTTCTTCTGTGTGTGAATGGAGTAATTGTTGGGATGCCACGGAGGAAAACTCCGTGTTGCCTAGACCACGGCCTTGTCCAACACAAGTTATAAATTTGGACACCGCCGGGAATCGAACCCGAGACCCCAGGATTACAAGGCCAGCGTTCTAACCGCTAGACCACCGTGGCCCATAATGTACGTCTTCACGGCGTGGTGGTTATTTAAACACCTGTGATAAATAAAGGTGGAAGGACGATGTTAGCTCAACGTTCCAGCTGTTTTACACCCAGGGCCCTGGAAATGTTGTTCCTGTGGTGGTTTCTCTAGCGAAGCTGTGACGACGTGCGGTGCAGCGTGGTTGTGACTGGCGGGTTGCGTGGGTAGAAGGCGTCGTTGCGTATTTTAAAAACACCGTGTCCAATAATATATCGTAATTTTTATAATGAAATGTCTGTCAGGAAAGCCAGTGGATTCGAAGCAGCGATAACTGCAGTGTTAAACATTGTTCGTCGCGTTTGGAAGGCTGCCTGGAAAGAAAACCCTGCTTGTTTGATCACGTACTTAACCAAGATCACAGTATTGGTTTAAGTGCTTTCGTGGGACAGACAGACAGTAGACGCCGAGTTTGTCTTGCCTCCTGCTGCCAGTTCTACGTTTTCCCTCGTGTGTGCAAACGGACATTAAATCATTATGTTCTAAGAAAATGAAGAGGTATAGCTCTTGCAAAATGCAAATTAATATAGGAACAGTACCTACACCACCCTTAACTCTTAATTTATCAAATTCTCTTCGGTCTTACCCCGCTTGCCTACACAATAAGGGTGCTTCAACAAGCTATCCCCTTTCGTCATTCTCTTCTTCACCCCCTTACGAACCACAAATCGAATTCGGTACAAGAAATACGATAATCCTCTGTACGCAATCCACCATACACTTATGTCATTTGGGTTGCGTCAACGGAAGGGGCTTTGTTATTCTACATTGCTGTGTTAGGATCTGGTATCATACTTGAACCGGTCGGCGAATATGCTAGGATTTTGTGCCGTGCAGTCTCGTAGAATATGGCCGACTTTTCAGAGGTACTTACTGTCTGATGATGGAGGCAGTAAGCATCTCCGAAACGTCGGTCGAAATCTACAAGACAACGGCGCAGAATCGCAGAAGACAGTCATCCTCGGGGAATTTCTTATTCACCTGCCAACGTCCAATCGACGTTCCTCTCGATTGGTTAGATTTTTGTTTGGTTTAGGTTTTGAAGTCCGAAGTACCAAAGACTGCGTTTTGAGGGCTTCATCAAGGAGAAGACTGGGGCGT